TCACACTTTAACCCCCATGCAAAATAAACGTATAATGTCTTCTGAGTAAAATAACCCAAGGAGCTTCGTGCTATTAGAGCATCAAATTTGCTGGGTAACTTAGCTCAGTGGTAGAGTGCTTTCCCAGCATGTGAAAGACCCTAGATGCAAATCCTCAGAACTACAAAGGCAAAGCAAATAGACCATACAGGAGTATCAAGACGAACACCCAGGATCTCACAGGAGGGTTTGTAGGCCTGCAAAGTACCCTTCCTGTGTACCTAGTATGCAAATGTATGTAGAAACACGATAGCCACAATAACCACTCCCATTCAGAAAGAGGAAGAATGGGATGGAGACGCCAATCTTAGTCTATGGCTATTTTTGCAATCTTGCCCAGCCTTTTCAAGGAGCCCCTTAGGGGAGGGGATGGTCTTTGATTAGGCCCCATTTCTAATCCACAACACCTTCTTCCTCCTCTAGCTCATGGCTTCTGGCGGTTCACACACACACACACACACACACACACACACACACACACATATCCTTTTATATCTTTTTCATGATCTCATTTGTCATCTTGAGTAAGAATTGGAGAATATGTTCTTCTTAGAGTTCAAGCAACTTTCTCAAACTGCTTCCTGTACATAAAGGAAGAGGCCCTGGGCCATTTCAAGGCTATCCACGGTTTCCTATAGATATGACTGATAGATATTTCGGCCCCGCTCTCAGAACTTCTGTCAGTTGTTTCTACAGTTAATCCAAGTGAACTCTATGTGTCCTAATCGCAGCCGTCGTCATTCCCTGCTTATTTCTTTCTTGTTTCTTTCAGCCCATTGGCCTAGCAATGCATGCACTATTTTGTACTACTGAAAGATTTCACTAAAATTACTTTAATCTAGAATGGGACCCTGTCCTCAAGTGTACATTCTAACCAGTCTTTGTTGCTCTCTCTCTCTCTCTCTCTCTCTCTCTCTCTCTCTCCCTCTCCCCTCCCCTCTTCTGTCTCCTTTCTTTTTTGCTTATTTTTAATAACTAAAAGTGGAAGACACCTTTTTCTTCTAGTTGCTCATATTTCCATATTTTTGGGCTCTATAATCAATTTCCTTTCCCAAATATTTTATTCGTAACTATGTGTATGTGCCTGTACCTGTGTATGGGAATGTACACGTGAGTACCAGTGACAGTTGAGGACAGAAGAGGCCACTGGATCACTGGAGCGGGAGTACAGACAGTCACAAGCTGCCCAAACCAGATGTTGGGACCTGAACTACCTGGGCGGAACATTCACTTAACTCCTAGGGCATCTCTTAGGCTCACTTGCATTTTTATTTGCAAGCTAGACAGTTTTTTCTAAGCTGAGCTTTTTGGGCACTGTTTCATGCCACCACTGTTTACCAACACGGAGAACTGGCTTCCAGAACCAGCCTGGCCGCTACAGCCCCAACTGGCTTCCAGTCCAGCCTGGCCGCTACAGCCCCAAGCTTAAGGTATGTTATCTGCCTCCAGGCTGCTCCGTGCTCTCATGACAGGCTTTCTCAATCTTCTGCTCCTGTGACTATGAGTCACCACCCTCCTGACTTCTGTCCCTTCCTTTTCTGCCTGTGTACTACCTGGCCCTTAAGTCAAGAGTAATGTATTCACCGGTTTGTTCCAGCCACTTCTTCAAACTGGAAATTAGTTCTGTATTAGTCAAGACTGGCTCAGTGCTGCTCCAGGAATAAAGTCCAAGTCTCAGTGGTTTAAAACAACCAATTGTTTCATTCATATTACATGTTCATCCTAGGATAGGGCGAGCTCTGAGCATGTGCTCCTTTAGGACCCCTGGCTGCCTATGTAGTCACTGTCCTCCTGAATGCTGTCCATTTCTCCAGCAGAAGGGAAAACTGGATTCTAAAGATTCTTGAACTAGCAGCCTAGAAGCGACTCACATTACTTGTACTCATAGTAATAGTCCAAAATTAGTTACACGACATTACTCAACAAAGAATCTAGGAAGAGCCATTCTCTCCTGCACCCAGAATGGTATTGACAGACAGAAGAAAACATTTATTGAATACCATAAACATCTTCCAAAATAGGCAAGTAAAAAAAAATAATGAAAATCTTTGGGCTAAACACTGAGAATTGGCAAAGGGGGTGGGGCTATGTTACTAAAGTGAGTAAGGTAACTTTTTGCAAGCAAATCTCAAAGATTGAAAAGAATCCGCAAGAATTAGAATCCTAGACAGGAAATAACACACAGGAAGGCCACGAGTTGGAGTGTGCATGGCTTTTCCTGAAAATGACAGGTGAGCTATGTGGAAACTCATGAGTCAATGGGCTTCCCAGGGGAGATCACAGACAGCCCTGATCTGATAGCAAAAAGGAAGCATGCTAGGAAGCTGCTGAACACTTAAAACAAGGGGGGATGCTTTGTGCTCTAAGACAGTAACTCGCTCTGAGAGAAAAAAAAAAAATACCTGGAACAGGATGAAAGTAAAACTGAGACCTGCTGTAGCTATCTCTGTAGAAGACAGAGATAGCAGCTTGGGTTAGCATAGGGGTCACTATTGAAATCTACAAGAAGGCAACCAATTTCAAAGTATTTTGAGGGACTTTAAAGGTTGGTTTAGGGGAACATTGGGAATAGCTGGAACTATTGTGACTTTCATGTTTCTGGTTTTGGTGACCGGTGGTCTGTGAGGCCATTTATAGAACCAGGAAGTATAGAGGGGTATTGAAGTTTAGATGCTATGAGACAAGATTCTATTTTAAACATAATAAGCTTCAGACAATTGACTGAACTGCTGACTGCAGAAGTAGATCATGTAGAATGGTGATGAACCAAGAGCTGCCATGTCCTGTAACTCAGAGATCACTTGTGTGTAAGTTGGTGAAGAATCAAATTTTGCCTCACAACTTTTTTTGTTTTTACTGTAAGTTCCCTTCCAGAAAGGTGTCATTGTTGGGCATACAGATTTATATTCTTAACCATCAGAGTTAAAATGAAGAGAATAACAACGTAAGCCCCTGTTAACTATTCAGGGGTTTTCTTTGTGCTGGGAATTCTTTACCGGTTGTTACTTAATGATAGCAAATGCACACATAGTCACCAAACAGCATTGTTTTGCTGAAAACTTTGAAGCAAAAAGGGTTAAATACCTTGGAAATGACACAAAATCAGTCAGAGTGCATCCGATATTAAAAACCTATGCATTTCACTCCATTCTGTGCTTTCAACCTTTGTACTTTGTGGAACAGAAGTGAACTAGTTTGGTTTAATTAGTTACTGAATAATACATGATATCCAGTATGCATAATAGTTCCAGTAAGTTTTTTGGTTTTTTTTTTTTTTTTTGGTTTCTTGTTTTTTTGTTTGGTTCAATGCTCCTGGGTATATACATATGTTTGAATCATTAAGTTTATAAGATAGCATCCATCAGGTTACTGTATTATAAGATATTTCAGCCAAATTCTAAGAACAGAACAGGCTTCAGAAAAATAGTACTGTAGCTACAAATCATTTAAAAAGTGAGTGCTTTTTAAACCACACAAATCCTTGATGCAAATTATACTAAACATGCTAGATGTCATCTGCTAGACAGAAAAATGAGCTACTTTTTAATCCCCATCACACACTGAGTGGGAAACATCATGGAACGTAATGCGTAGTACTAATGTGCTAAATTCACATTGTTGGGTTGGCAAGACGCCTCAGACAGTAAAGATTCATGCAACAAAGCCTGATGATGATCTGAGTTCAACCCCCAGGACCCACACGGTAGAAGTAACAAACTCTTCCCACAATTTGTCCTCTGACTTCCACAAGGGTGTTGTAGAACACTCATGCCCACGTACATAGATCTGTACATATGCACCTAAGTATACAATTAAAAATAAGCATTTGACATTGGTGTCTTAACTATGTGTTGAAGATTTCCTTCTGGGCAAAAACTGCTTTATTCTTTCCTTTTTATTTCCTGCTGGTGGATAGCAGGGTCTTGAGTCCCAAGCAATACTGAATAGTGGAGGAAAGGAAGGAGAGAAGCCAGGAGTGTAATGGGGAGGGAGAAGAGAAAGGAGGATAGAACCCAACCCAACCAAAAATGTCTATGAAAAGGAATTCGGTTTGAGGCCTCAAGGAGAAACAACGCAGGTCATGAATTCATGAACACACAGGAAGCACTAAGTGGTCTCAGTGGACGAGAGAGAGAGAGAGAGAGAGAGAGAGAGAGAGAGAGAGAGAGAGAGAGAGAGAGAGAGAGAGAGAGAGAGAGAGAGAGAGGAGAATGATGGAGAGGTTAAGACCACTTGCTGGCTGCTCTTGCGGAGGACCCAGGTTTGGTTTCCAGCATAGCCCAAACGGGGGATCACAACTGTCTATAACTTCAGCTCCCTGAGATCTGATGCCTCTCCCTGTCTCCCTGGCCACCTGCACACATGCAGTGCACATAAATTACAAATATCCAGGCAAAACACTCATACACATAAATACATTTTTATTTGAGAGAGAGGATATAATTGGGAAGGAAAAGTGGCGGGGTGGGAAGGGGAAGGAGAGAATCGGCAGTGGATTTGATCAAAGCACGTTATACGTGTAGGCGCAATCCTCAAAAACTTTTTGAGAGTGCCTTGTTTCGTTTTGCTTTGCTTTGTTAATGACTTAAAGTGGGAAAGAGAAGGAGACGACCTAAGGTAGACACTTCTCGGCATCACTCGAATACCAACATTTCCCCTTCTTCGGTGGAGTGGAGGGGGGGGAGTGACCCTGGTCTCCCTCAAAACATCGTCCCAGTCCCAGGTTCAACCCGTGACGTTCGCGGCCTCCAGGACCTCTTGTCACTCAGCCGCCGGGCCACGCCCACCGGGCCACGCCCCTCCTCTCTGCGCCGGCGAGAGCCCGGACCCTGAGCCTGCGCACCAGCGGCCGTCGGGAGGCGAGCAGGCGTTCCGCGGAGAGGAAGAGGAAGAGGAAGTCGGAGGCGGGTGCTGGCGGGGCGTGAACCGGAAGTGCAAACGTCCTGCCTCTTCCCCTCCACCCCCCCAGCCCCAGCCAGGCGGAACCTGCTCGGCCGGGCCCAGCGGCTGCAGAAGAACTTTCTCCCGCCCCAACGGTCGTCGCGGCCCACAGCCTCGCCCACGCGGCGGCCAGCGGCGCCTCGTCCGTCCGCTCGATCGCGTCCCCTCGTCGGGCACAGCCGCCCCTTCTGCCCGGCCCGCCGGCGCACCCCGCCGCAGTGATGTGCGACAAGGAGTTCATGTGGGCCCTGAAAAACGGAGACTTGGACGAGGTGAAGGACTACGTGGCCAAGGTGAGCGGGGGTGCGCAGGGCGGGGGAGCCGGGGGCGACGCCCGGGGAGCGGGGTGGCCGGCCGGGGCTCGGGGCTCGGGGCTCCGTCTCCCCCGGTTCCTGGGCTCCCGATCCTCTCTCTGCACGAGGCAGGCAGTTCTCCATCTTGGGCTTGCCCGTTACTGAGAGGGTAACCCGAGAGCAGTTGGGACCCGGGACGATTTCTCCAACTTGGGGGCCTGGTGGGAGTGGAAGGGACCCGGAGACCTTCGCTGACGGCGGGATTTAAGGGCCCGGAACAGCCAGGGTGCAGGTTCTGAAACTTGGTATCACTTCACTGTGAAGTCTTGGCTTTGGGTGTGGCCTTCCTCCCCCCCTACCCACCCATCCCACACACAAACCGCACAATATGTGTGTTGTGTGCGCGTTTATTATTCACTTGGAGTGGCAAGGTTGCCATTTTGGCATCTGGAAGCGGTTAGGAAAATCTGAGGAGTTTTTCAAAAGCATTTTTAACTTTGGGTACTGAATGATCTTCATCTGAAGTCTAAATGTGTGCAGTCTACTCATGCTAGGTTGAAGAACGCCAAATTTCAAAGCGAAACCCAAGTAAATAGAAATAAATCCACTTTGCGAGGGACTTGGAGAGGTCTAAGCTAACCCTGCCTTTGGATCCTAAAGGTGCACCTTTTTTATTATAAAGAGAACGTGACATAGTTTTTAAAGTTATTTCTGGAAGTATAGTTCTATGACAACCCTGAGCATCTTGGTCTTCTTCCAAAAGTGTGAGCCTGTGGTCAGCAATAAGGTTCTTAAAAGGGGTGAGCAGTGGTATCCCGCTTCATAGGCCTTTGCTAGGCGGCAAGTAGAAGCAGGTGTTTCTGGTTTTTGTTTAAAAACAACCACATGATTATACAAGGCTGATAGTCGTTCTCACATGTATTTGATCTGCTTAGTTGTGTGCAATGGATGTTTAAAGCGGGCTGCCTTCCGAACTGCCTTAGCTAGTTGCAGACTGAAACCTCAGTCACCGCCTCTTTCAGTAATGCAACACCACAGTACTCTCTCAAGATGAGTGGCTTTCGTTTTTCCTGTCCCGCTCAAACTTAGGTGATCTCAAATACAAAACGTTGATAAGATTAACTGGGTTTAGTTACAAACTAGCCTGCTTGAAATTGTTTTCTCCATGTTGATTTCATGACTGAACCATTCATCCCAACTGGAAATTGGGGGATTTTCCTACACATCTGAGGTTGCAGCTCTTCAAGGTAGTTGCTTGCGGTTTTCCAGCCCACGCTCTATTTTCTTCGTTTGGTCTGCCAGGTCCCCACCCTGGTCATCTCAGATGTTAGCTGAAGGGATCAGAGTTATTTAAGCATGTCTCTCAGTGAACTCCCTTCTCTAATTTGATGATAGATTCTACATCTTGTGACTCTCGATCACTTCCAGCTCAGCTCCTCTTTCTTTTGGTCTACTGGGCCATTGTGATGTGTCAAGGGATTGTTTTTCTCACCTGTTGGAAAGCTCTACTCCAGACCTTGACTTGTTTCTATTTCTTGCAGTAGATTTGTCCGAGTGCACTTGCATCCTGTTTGTCCAAGTAGTCTTCACAAGTCTTCCAGGCTGGTGAATTCATGGTTGTCCTCTTGGTCTAAGTATCACCTCTTCCAGAAAAAAATATTCAGCTTGAAAGGGAACTCAGCTTCCTGATGTTTCATTTGTCAGGTCACTGTGGTTACCTGTCCTTCATTGAGCCCCGAGCCTCTGGACATTAGATGTTATGCTTTTTCATCTTCATATCTCCAGTATAACCCTAAGCATTTCACACATTAAAAGTATATGTTCCTGATAAGGAATTCCTCCCTTAGCTGTGATTGTAATAAACTTCACTAGTTATGTAATAGTAATTACTCTTCACTGGTTCGTTTATGTTGTACAGTAGTAGAAAGCACTCGGATTTTTTTTTTACTCACTTTCAATTTTTTTCTCATCCTGTTTCTATATTCCCATTTTAAGAATGAGGAAATTAAGATTTGGAGGAGCTAATCTGACAAGGTTGTAGACTAGGCCGACTTGGATTTAAACCAAAGGCTGTCTGAATCAAAAGCATACACATTTTTTTGAGCTGTATCAATCTGCTTTGAAACAGTTGTGGTTTTCCATTTTCTCAACTTACTAAGGCTTAGAGTCAGTCCATCAAGAAAATACGAGGCTTCCTAGAAGAACTTAGTCCTGACCATGAGTGAAGACAGAGAGGACTCTTTATTTAAGTGCAACAGTTTAGAAATAATTAGCATAAAGACAAGTATTTGGTAAACTTAAATTCTCACCAGATTCTCTTGCACAGTGTATGTCTGTAAGATGATTATTTGGTAGCTAAAAATGTTTTTTGTAATCATAAGCTTGTTATTTTTGTTTGTAGCTGTGATCCTGAACAATCTAGAAAAAGGTATGTTAGCCCCTAGGAAGGAATGGTAACTAAATAACTGAGATTTCTACTCATAATTAAGAACATACTCTTAACATTTTATATATTTGACCATTGTGATGTAATATACAGATATTACCACATCAGGCCATGAGTGCAATTTTAGACACTTTAGAGGTAAAAATAAAGTAACTTCCCCAAGATCTTGAAGTTTTGGGTGGGTATTGGGAGTGAGATTTGAACTTGCTTTCACAGGCTAGGAAGAGCTTTCAGTATTCCTTGATACTAACCAGTTCACATTCTCTTGGCCTTCACTTCTAAACAATCCCAGATAACTGAGGGGCTGTGTTGCTACTGTGTACATAAAAATTAAAGCCTGAGGCAGGATGATAATGGTCCCTTGAGGCTATTTAGAGATAGACTCCACCATTGTCTTTGGGGTGGGAGGTTCCTTCAGGGGAGTGCTTGTGAGTTGTGCTGGTGAGTAGTCCGCAGAGACTCCAGCAGCCCTAATATCTTGTTGATGTGTGCTTCTGTTTCACTGGCTGTGAAACACTATACATTAGGTCTCTAACTTCCCTTTCTGTGGTTTCTCTCCAGCCTCCATTCTAATTACATCTGCTTTTGACATTAATAGGTTTGGAAAGCAACAGTTGCTCACCATGTGAAGGACAGGATCCATTGAATCCAAGAGATGTATCAGGTCTAATCTTCAGAAATTGCAACTTACTGGGATCTTTTTTTTCACTTTCCAAAAAGAGAAAAGAAAAGAAAGGAAGGATGGAAAAGAAAGGGCAATTTTAAAGTAGTTCAGATCCAGTCTACATTTGTTGTTTTATTTCATTTTTTTTTTTTGTTTATTTTTAATGTTTTTAAATTAGCAGGGTGTTTTTCTTACAACATTTTATCACTTGCCTGCAAGAAAACTTATAAGCTTATACCAGCTTTTGGGACATAGAGGTGCTATCAGTAAAATCAAATGTTAATACAGTATAAATATAAATTGCTTTCTCCTACCCACACAGGAAATGGGCACAAAACCCAAATATGACTAATTGGATGCTTGAGACTAGAAGCTCAGGGGCAGTGAAGGGCACTGAGGATGCAGTGGCCACAAGAGAACACTCGGTTTAGAGCTACTGTAGCAGCACCTCCACTCTTGTCCATGTTGTTCTTATGGCAGGGTTAAGTTTTTATTTCTTGACTGTAAGCCTTACCTTATGCGTTTCTTCAACCTGCTCAGCAATTTAGAACTACATTAGTACCTTGTTAATGTGTTACACTTGTTAGTCAGTCTGAATGGGCTTCTGTTGCTCATTTTTAGTTGCCAACTCTTCTTGGTTTTTTTCTTTGCTTTTTTTTTGGGGGGGGTGGGGATTGTATTTTTTGTTTGTGTTTGTTCTTGGTTTTTTGAGACAGGGTTGCTTCTCTATGTAGCTTTATAGACCAGGCTGGCCTCAAACTCACAGAGATTGATCCTCTTGCCTCTGTCTCCCAGGTACGGGATTTAAAGGCCTCCACCACCTGCCTGTCTTTTAAGACAGACATTATCTTTATTTAAAAAAAAAAAAAAAAAAAAAAAAAAAAACCACAAAGGAATTATCTTTGTATTCCCTATTCCCAGTTATTGCCACATTTATCTGCCATACAGTTTAGTTAAGTTTGAGTTGGGTTGGATTGGTATTTGGAGAAAGCTAGCCCTTCCTTCTTTTCAAAGTTGGAAGTTGGTTCACCATATATACACCTCTAATTGGTCTAAATGATAGTCTTTCTTTTCTTAGAAATAGCCTGGAGTGTTGGTGAACTTTATGCAGCCCCCCTCCGCCCCATGATTTTAGTGATAGTAGTAGTCTACATAGCTTGCTAGTTTTGACTTTGTCTTGTGACCATCATTTTGGAATTTTAGTTAACTAAAGTATTTTCAAAATCACCCATCAAACTTGAAAGTTAAGTTTTGAACTTGATGCTTTATGAAAAAAAGAATTATCAATTGGATTTTTAATAGTAACACAAAAGCACCCGTTGAAGCCTCGGCATTCTCATCTGAAACAGGGTAGTGATGATGCCAACTCGTATTTTGTGCAGTTTTTAAAGAGACAGTAAAAAGAGTAGCATCTCCACTACATGTTGCAGCTGTGCAGTAGTATTTGCTACTTATGTTGTCTGTGCAGATTATTTACTAAGTAAAAGCGTAGAGAGAAGGCTACGGCAAGAGACTGGCAAACTTGGCTTTGTTTTCATAAGTGACCAGTTAGTACATATTTTAGGGCTTGTCAGCCATATGGTCTCTATGTCTGCTGTTGTACAGAAGCAGGCATAGTCAGTATGTAAACAGCTGAATAGTTGAATGTACTACTTGTGTTTCAATAAAACTTTATTTGCAAAAAAAAAAAAAAAAACAAAACAAAACAAAAAGGCAACAGGCTTGATTTGACCCATTCTCCATAGATTACTCATTTTTACATAAGACTGAAGTTGAAAAAAAATGAATTCACCCAGCAGACTAAATTTCTTTTTTATCCTCAAGGCTTTGACATCTAAAATAAGTAAGATGCATGATAAAATGGAAGTTTTATTTTGAGGTTGTTTCCAA